AGCTGCCTGTGTCAAACAACAAATGGCATGTAAGATACAAGTGGAGAGAGAACAAATGGGAATTATATAATGATCACATTTCATTACCCACTGTTATGCCACAGAGAATACCAACCAAAGCAAACTAAATTGTTTTGATGTCTGTGAGGCATCGGTGCAGGCTCAATGTTTGCAGGAATGCTACTTAGATTTTTATGAATGAGCAGCAACGTCCATTTCGATTTCATCTGGAAGGCTAAGCACACATAAGGTCCCTTTGCTGATTCCAAACTGAACGTGGAGAGGAGGATTCCTCTCCTGGAGACTTGCAGGGAGAGCGTGGGGTGGCCTATTGATTTTGGAGACTCGGCTCTGTAATTGCTTGAGCGGAGAAAGCTGTAAATCTAAACTGCTGGTTACTCTTTGCTTATACAAGCGGAAGATTACTTTGCCAAAGCTGGAGTAAGAAGCGTGGCACGGGACAGCGTTGTGTTTTTAGAATAAAAGGTTGAAGGAAGGGGAGTGCGGACTGACAGGAGCAGCTGGGTGGGGGATAAAGGTCAACCTGAGTTAATCAGCGAGAATCAGCGTCAGATGAGGAGAGAATAACAACGTGTGTGTTTGCATGTGCTCGCAATACTGACAATAAAAACTACAAAATGAAAGAAAATCTGAGAGAAGAAAGAGTGGCGATGAAAGGGCAACATGAAAGCAGAGAGATGCAGACCTTACACTGCAGAAACAGAGTAAAGTCAACAAAAAATCTGATACATAACACTTCATGGTTAATACATGTCCCAGCATGTATGTGTACTCTGCTGAGACACAGGTGGTGTGGCTCCTCAGCCATACATCCAGAAGCTTACAGTAGGTCTTGATAAAAATAAACCTGCAGCGGCTCTGGCCCTGACAGGTAAAAGCAGCACTACAGCCATGCATTACTTAGTATGACTGTTCGTTTGCCAGCTGGGCTCTCACACAGCTGTACAGGTGCATGCACATCAATTTTTCAAGTCATGTTGACAGAAGCTTTTCATAGTGCTGCTCTAACATACAGCACACATGTTTTTATACCAACAAAAAGGTACAATACGGAAGGTGAAAATGTGATTCATCAGCTGGCAGCACCACATCCTGAAAACACGTTTGTTTATCTTTATCATCCACACTTCTTGGCCAGGTTTACTTGTTATGTAAAAGTATATGTTTGTTTACATAAAACAATCAACACACCAAGCAAACAACAAAGTAAAACAGATGGTTTGTTTTTTTTTAAAGATTTTTTTCTTTTTTTCTTGGGGGGGGGGGGGGGTTGTCTTGATTTGATAGGACAGTGGATAGAGTAAAAAATTGGGAGAGAGTGGGGAATGACATGCAGGAAAGGAGACACGGGTCAGACTTGGACCCGAGGCTGCTCACTTGGAGGACTAAAGCCGCCGTACAGCGACTTTCCCAGAAAACCATCTGCGCCTCAATTCTTTCATATTTTGCTTTAAATTTTCTCTTCATACTCTGAATACTGAATTTTTTTTTTGTGTTGTGACATATCAGTCAACCTTTCCATCAATTGTCTTTGAATACAACTTCATGATGTGAATATATTTTTGTCTAATGCCATGTGGTGTCTAGCATATTTATCTTACCTGTCACCTATAATCTTGGTCATGTGATTGCTTCCCATTGGCTGTTGCTACTTTAAATATTAGGTCACATTTCTGGTTGCTATCTGTTAAAGCCCTGACGAAGAAACCCCCAAAGCTAAGCTAAGCTAAGTTAAGCTAAAATAAACTAAGATAAACTAAGCTAAGCTAAGCTAATGTAACTCTGTCTACATATCTACCTGAGAGTGGCTTGTCTTACTTATGAAAAAAAAGAATACAAAGATGCTCCCCAAATATGTTGCAGGCTTTTCTTAAAAAGAGGACAAAAAATGTTTCAGACAGACTACTGACTTTTGCAACATGACATTAGCATTGACGCTTTAATGCATGGAAAAGAATGGGCTTATTGCCTGGGCCTAGGCTCTGCAGAGGCCTCGTGGGAACATGTGAAGAAACAACAATGTTTATTGTTGTCATTGTTTCACTGTTTGTCTTTCTATTAAGGTGCATAGAGACATTAGATCTGGATGTGCTTGGTTGAAGGTGAATAAGTGAGCACATAACAATTTGAGTCCAAGTGGCTAAACAATCAGTTTGTTGAGATGCAGTTAGTAAAAGCCGATTTATTGCATTAGCTTGTTTAAAACTGCACTTTTAAAATACATGTAAAAAACTAATTGAATGTCTCCAAATGGACTAACACACCTAGATAACACGGTTGGGGGTTGATTTACTCTTGCATGTATAAACCACAATCAGACCCTACTGAGCACGCTCCACAGTTCCCATGAAAAAGGCTTTGACCCAGATTTTGAACGGCATAAATGTGTAGAGGAAAGTCGGGAAAATGTAAGACAAAAGTATCAACATGGCGAGTCCTTTATCAAGAACCATGCAGTAATGGACAGACAAGAAGACAGTTAATGTTGAAGTACATGAATGGTAGGAAAATGTGAAATGGTGACTTGATTTTTCGGTATGTGTCAACCATAAAAAGCTCAAATAGTAACTAGCTGTGTGGGGCATATCGCCACCTACTGTAGCGGATTTGGATTCTCCCCCGGTGCTTGAATAGTGGGACAAGAACAGTAGTCTAGTTAAACAACAGCTAGACTTAACTGTGCATGTAAACCTACTAAGTGAATGAGGTGGAGGACCTACAAGGAATCTTTTGGGGTCACAGCAGGGAATAGAATAGAATCCAGTTCTTTATCTACAGTATGAGATCCTGCACATCCCTGTGTGGGCCCTGATCTTTGCACAGCGTGGGTCAACTCTATCAATTTGTTTTACTACAAACTGTCTTCTTGATTGGTGAAAAAAGGGACAATTTATCATATTTTATGAGCCCATAATGTTATGTTATTACAGCATCACATTTCACATCAGCAGCCATGAACACACTGACTCACCACAACAATACACATGCTAGAAATCATTCAGTCAGATGTGACTGGCTTTTCTTTAAAGTCTGTTATTAAAGAACCACACTGTTCTCTTCTTTTCACCCTGCGTCCGCCATGATTCCCCTGTGTGGTGCAATAATTCTCACTTTGTGTGAAGTAAACCTATCTCACTCCCTCTAACCAGCGAGCCAGGAGACACCAAACCAAAGGATGCAGCTACTTCACACTGCACACTTCCACCAAAATAAGCATGTTTCAAGTGTCATTTATTCCACAAATGTAGCATCCTGTACGTGCATTCTTCTAGTCTGGAAAAGAAAAAAAGAGTGCAACGGATGTGAAATAAATGAAAGAATGAAAGTAACATAATGGGTCAGTGGATGTTAATGTGGACGTCTTGTAAAAGGGCATTAACCCTCATCTGGAGCTAAACGAATACTTGGTCAATAATTCATCATCTTAACCCTGTTTTCAGTCTTACATATGCATCCTTTAATAAATAAATAACACAGACAACATGTAGACATGGCTCCTACACAGTAAATAACTCAGCGAATAAAAACAGTTAAACCTTTAGGAACTTGAGTTCCCCGTTGATTCCCTCAGAGAGAACAACCTTTCAGGTAAAAGCTGATTTCTCGAATCTCTCACTAGAGATGGGATCTGCGTGCTGTTTAAAGCCCCTGTGAGCCTCTCCTCTCCAAACACAATTGGTTCGGGTTTTTTTTTTTTATTCGTCTGTCCTACATTTATTGTGTGTCAAACAATTTAGTGAACTGCCCAAGGCTTTGACTTTTAGAAGTTGCTCTTAATACCGTTTAATATCAACTAATGATATAGGTCATGACTCATTTTGTCTTCGCTGCAAAACATTTTGTATGGATGCAACATCTGGGTCTGTTTTCATGCAGAAACCTAATTTAGTGCAATAAATCATATGGGATCAATCATATCAAATAATTCAACAATGCTATGCTTTTTCTGCAGATGCTTTATTCACTGCCCTTCTTTAAACACTCAGCAAACCTGAGACATCACCTTCTTCTGCTGGTATGAAGTTAAAAAGAACACGCTTCATACGACTTTAATAAACGTAAACCAGTATTATCAGAGAAAAGGAACTCAAAATGTCAAATGTAAAAGTGGAGAGTTTTCAGGACAGACGATGAAGGTCGTACAGTCCTCAGTTTAGGGCTCAGCCCCCTAAAAAAGGACACTTAAGCTTTTACTCTTCTTTCCCCTTCTCTTTCTCTCTCTTAAGGAATAACTGTATGGTTTCATATATACAGGACCGTTTCTAACCGTTATAAAAACAACACAATGTAAGTTTAAAATGCAAAGAGCATTAAGGCGTGAGGGACAAGGGAAACGAACAGGATGGAAAAAGAGGAAGCTGTGTGTGTGTGTGTGTGTGTGTATCTGAATATAAACTAATCATGGATAAAATTAAAGATTAATTAATAAAAGTGCATATAATGTAAAATCCTCCAGAAAACCACAAAGCAAACTTTTTTGATTAAATTCTAAAAAGGTTCAGGTAACTCTAGAAATGCAAAATAAGAAATATATTATGTCAACTTTCTTTTTCCCTTTAAAGCATGGCCTTACTATTATTATTACTGAACCATTAAAACAGTTATTTTAGTGCTAACAACAGATGAAAAATATCAAGTCGCGGCCTCACAGCACAGCCTTTGAGAGCGTCCTGTGTACAGCTGGATTCACACACTGGATGTTGATCTTCATGTAATAGCAAACTGAACTTGTTTGAAAATAGGTGGAAGTCAACTTTAAAGTGTAACTAACCAGAAACAGTGCAGTGCTTTCATTTCAGTAAATGTAATACTTCTGTGGGGATAATAAAGGTTAGGTTCATGTGTCAGGTGTCTGTGTGTGTTGGCCTGCACAGGTGTCTGTGTGTGTTGGCCTGCACAGGTGTGTGTGTGTGTGTGTGTGTGTGTGTGTGTGTGTGTGTGTGTGTGTGTGTGTGTGTGTGTGTGTGTCTGTCTCATACTTGTGTGTTCCTCGGCTTGTAGGGCGAGCTACTCTCCAGGTCTGCCAGGATGCTGGTGAGGGAGTCGATCTCTGCATCCAGGCTGGAGCGCCTCTCCTCCAGAGTCTTCTCTGGTCCTTTAGTCTGGGACAAACGAGGGCAGAACAGTGAGAGAACTCAACAGAACCAGCCTGCCATTACGCTTTAACTTTAGTTCTTCTTGTGGCACTGAAAAGTTAAGGACAGATAATCATCAATGACAAATATTTCTGTCTCAGAGTAACTCTGAGACATTCTCTTCTGCTTTTTTTTTTTGTCACACTTCTTACACCTTAGATTACAGTTTCTGAGTTCACGTTTCACCTTGACCTCAGACAATCCTTTTGAAAGCCACACATCAATAGCAGAGACTTCTGTGTGCGAGAAATGCTCTGAGAAAGAAGAAGCAATGTATTGTCTGAGAGACAACTTTCATAACGCTGTGCACTATTCACCTCCTGCCTTTCAGCGCACTTGGATTTACAGTATCACATTCTTCATGCATAATTCAGCACACTCTCTTGAAGCAGAATTTCAAACAAAAAGGTCAATTTTTTTAAATTAAAGTCAGATATTTTTTTTTATTCTACATTTTAAAAATGTGCTCCATAAAAGATGATAAGAATTGCTGCGATTTTTATTTAACGAGTTTATTGTCAGAGGAGGCTTGAAAGCGTCAGTAACAGGATCACTTCAGCACTCTGAGCTCTCACTGATTTATTCATCCACTTTTTTTTTTTTTTTTTTTTTACTTTCACCTCAGAGAAAACACATCTTCAAAATCTATAAAAAAAAAAAAAAAAAGACACAAAAAAATCGTAGAAAATGAAGGAGAAAACTGTTGCCCAAAAATCTGGAAAGTAGTTAAAATGATTTGACCATTAGTGACACGCAGTTTTCTGCAAAAAATTCCCGGGAATTTCTCCACGGAATGACAGATATATTTTTAGTCTTCTGAACTATGCTGCAACTGCAAGAAGACTTCTTGCAATTTGCCTGCGGGGGCTTTTTGAGTTGGCTGGATCAGTGACTGCTTCTTATTCTAATGTTATGTGTTTGGATTACCTGTCACAATCTATTACAGGCAGGGCTTGCCTCCATTTGGAGCCGAGCTACTGCTTAAAAACATCTAAAGCAATCACGAGCGCGGGGTAAACAAAGCAAAACACTAATGGCTTGTCTCAAATCAACACAAAGAAAAACAGGCAAACTTGTTTCACGGTGATAACGAGCAGGATGAAAGGAAACTTTGCAGACTTTGTGATGGTTGCTGGTTCCCCGTGTAGAGCTTCAGAAAGCGGTCAGGATGAGAACTAGCTGCCTTCTGCATTAACACGTCACAATCCAGACATCTCCCACTTTAAAGAGTGATAAAGACAAGAGAATATTTTCTGCTTTCTTCAGCGGAAATACCATTTCATCCTTGATTTATTCATTCAGTGTGTGAAAGTTTTCCACCATGGCACAGAGAAGAAGATATGAAGACATTTTGATTGATATCCACCCCCCTTTTTTTTTCTGAACGATTACAGAGTCCAGCTCTGGCAACAGGACACATACTTAAGATACCAGAGGGGAATTAAGGAATTATGTTGCTTGGACAGAGTTACTCCACAGATAATAACTTTTGGATAAAAAGTGTACAGAACTCTTCATTTTCAGACCTCAGAGATCTTTAGTTTAAGGAGAAAAAGGACGGATGAGGAGATAGGAGCTGTGAAAACAGAAGGAAACAAATTGTAAACTAACTTTATTGTTTGCCTGATTGTCTCTGTTATACTGTAGACTTAGAAAAATATTCTAGCTGTTCTGAGGAAACGATGCAAACCCAGAGAAAGAAAAGTGCCTTGTTTTAATATTCAAGGTGTTACTTTGTTCATTTGACTAAACAGAAGTTAAGTGTGTTTCCTGTTGCCACGGCCAGGAGGTCACTTTGCTTTTGAGACCTTGTACCCTTTGCATTTTGACATTCATTCTCCTTCATTAAATATCTGAAGATTTAAAAAGGTACAGAGTTGAGCCAACAGTTATGCTAACACTAATAGTTCTTACTAGTCCCTTTTACTTTGCCAGTTCAAGGCGGGACTTTAACGCCTCTGTTACGCCTCTTACACAATGTGAAACACTTTTAGGTGTAATGGTGGAGTGAAGTCGCTCTGCTGCTGAGCTGACATCTGAGATAGTAACAGAGGGAGAAAGATCGGGCAGAGCTGCGCTGTGTGTGTGTGTGTGTGTGTGTGTGTGTGTGTGCGCATGACTTAATGAGTGTGTATGTGAAGCTCCTGCTGTCTGTTTACGTGTCTTGCCTCTTTGTTCTTCTGCAATACAGCAGCCCTTTTCTTAGTGCAATTCCACAACAGAGCTCCGCTGTCATCACGTGTTAAGACATACATAAGATTGTGTTACGGCACTGAGGAAGTGCGAGAGGAGCACGGCACAGAGGGAGCTCCACATACACACACAGTAAGACACATACACCACCCCTAGGACTCCTCTGTTACTACCTCCAAAGACGATACAGAGGGGGGGATCACTGTGTCCCCCCAGTTACGCCTCCACTACATTCATGCTGCAGCAGAAACTTCCCAGGGGCATAAATATGGTGCTTTGAAATGGCAGTCTGAATAAGGTTAGTATTGCAATGTAAACCCCCCCACACTGGGACACCAATAGTTAGCCCTTACAAGATACATTTTATTTAATCAATCACATTTGTGTGTCAATAAAATGCATCCAGACCATATTTGGCTGCAGGAAAAATGCCCCCTTTCGTCTGCTAAATAAACGATCTCTTTCTTATTTGCTGGAAATGTAAGTCATTTGGGGACAAATACACAGTCACTGTTTTATGAACATACAAATTCCAGAGTTCAGCTGAGGCTCACATGAGGCTTCACAGTCCGAGTTAGATCGATGAAGTGGATCTCTTCCATTAGAACAGTCTTTATAGTGTGGGAAATTCCTTCTTACATTTCTGAAGGTCCTTTTGGAGGGAAATGCAGACTGTCAATTTGTTCCTCTTTTTTTTTAAGGTCTATTGTTGGGCTCTATATGCCTTCACTTAGAGACAGGACAGTGGATAGAGCTAGAAATGGGAGCGAGAGAGAGTGGGGAATGCCATGCTGGAAAGGAGCCACAGGTCAGATTTGAACCCAGGTCCCCTGCTTGGAGAACTAGAGCCTCCATACTCCTGCACTAAGGACTAACCACTACGCTACAAGCACCCAGAAATTGTCTCCCTTTTACTTAAAATGTATTAGCAGTCAATGTTTTAACGACCAGTATGAACAGGAGAAGTGATTAAAGAAGGCATCACCTGTTTCAGTGACCATAAGAGCACACATTGTAACCTTTGTCTCAAGACATACTTGATAAACTGTGGACTTGTCCTTTAAAAGTACGGGCATTTCACCAATACATAGAAAACACCTTTTCACTGCTTTTAGCCTGAAGAAATTACAATGCACAGGACAGGGACAATTAACTGAATTTTACATGATGCACAATCCTATGAAACAGGGAAACTTGTTGTTATCTTATACGGAATAAAGAAGGCCATTTATGTGATGTCTGGTACAGTATGTGTGTGCATGGAGGCTCTGCAAGTAGCCATTCACATCAACATACTGTTCATAGATTATAAATCGCATTAAAACAAACAGAAAGTTCCTATTTGTTTTGGGTGGAGGATCAAAAAGCCCCAAAACAGAACGATCATGACCAGACAGACGTCTTCAAACACATCACCAGGACAGGTGTGACAGATTATTTCTCACACTATTCTGGTTTTAGTTCCGGGCCACAGCCGACTCTGACAACAGACCACACGAGTCTCATGTTCACCTGAAGAAGAAGAAGAAGCCATTATCAGTCTGACTTGAGCCTCATTAGTCAGCTGGATGTGAATAGATGTCTAACTGACTTTCTTTTAGTGTTTCAGGTCAGACAAATGATGTCTTTAACTTTTTATTTAACAGGACGGAGGATTTTGATCAGCTAATTGGGGTTCACCGGGATTTGGGGTTGAGTTTAGCCGAGGCTCGGCTAAAGCCCACAGGATTTTAATAAGAACTGCTTTATTCATTGTTTGCACTGGTTTTAATCACCTGATATGTTTTCTTTGGAAGAGGAAAACTGCCAAGGATTCAACTCTGACAGGTTATTTGAGAGATATTTTGTAAACTTTACACCTTCCACTACGACTGCTCCTGCATGGCTCGGTGTATAATAACAAGTCTTCTCAGGATCTGCTCCACTGATGATTTGTAAAATTTGCTTTTAAGGGTCATTCCTAATTTAACAGCAGAATGTTATCGGACATTTCAATTAAACCTTGTGAAAGTCTGAAATGAAGACTTGTGTATGACTGTTTCCAAGAAAAGAACTGGTAGTAATGGCTCATATTGATATAAACACAGATGTATGATTCTGTACAGTGAGGAATACATTATTCCATACAGGCCAGAAACAGATCTGGTACTATGGAAGACAGACTGCTCAGTATGGCACACAGAATTTGGCTAAATCGACCTGTGATGAAATGATTTGTCTGTTAAACTTTTCAATAAAATGCTTTGCTGAAAAACTGGGGAAAAGATTTCTTACATGAGTTGTCAGTTTTGATTTGATTCCTCATTGATCTTTTGTCGTCTTACTGTTTGTGCCCGTTTCTTCGTGCTCAGCCAATTGAGTGAAACAAGTTCTGTTAATTGGCTTTGACTGACATCGCCTCGGTTATATGAAACTATTTATGATTTATAACTATAACCGTTATCAGAACCGCGCCTTATAAAGTAGTTGTAAAGCTCCGCACTTTACATAGAGGTCGTAACATCACGTTGACAGGTTGCAGCTCCTTACTGACAGTTTGAGTGGGCAGAGGGGTGAACATACACACATTGCAGAACTTATTTACATTATATAAGATTCAAACAAAGCAAAGGAAGGATTCTCTTAGGGAACACCTTTCAGATCAAAAAAAGGAGCTTGAGGAGGGAGGAGTTTTCCCCTTCTCTCATTGAACAAAGGAATGTGAAGCAATCGGAGGATTTCACGGCAGAGGTCAAGTGATGAGGGCGTCAGTGAGAGCGCAGAGAGGCCAGATATCCCCGGAGAGACACATGCCTGTGGGTAGTATGACAGGCAAAGCAGAGACAAGTGACCAGACTTCACCAATAGGTGTCAGCCTTCTATCCTTCCTGCAGGAGAGCTCAGAGTGAAGACTGTGTGTGGGTCCCTGAGTTATAGGGTGTCTGGCTCCGGGCAGCTTCTGCAGCTGGACGTCTCTGCAGTTGGCTGCGGCTCAAATGGACAGACAGTTTTGCTGGACTCGGTGCATGAACTCAGTGTAGAGCTCGGGGCTGTGTTTGCTTTCTGCGCAGACTCTTAGAGAGTTACTGACAACCAAGAACATTGGAAACAACAACTCTTTTCTCTCACCTGATAATCGTACGAGTTCATCAGTGGAGGAGGAGGGTAGGAGCCCGAGGATGGAGGGAGAGCAGCCGAGTCGTCTGCCGGCGGTGGAGGGGGAGGGTAGTCTGCTGGGACACACACACACACACACACACACACACACACACACACACACACACACACACACACACACACACACACACACACACACACACACACACACACACACACACACACACACACACACACACACACACACACACACACACACACACACACACACACACACACACACACACACACACACACACACACACACACACACACACACACACACACACACACACACACACACACGGCTCATCAAATACTTCCCCTTTTTTTTTACTACTTTCAAACTGTCATAAACCTAAAAGAACAGACATAATGACACTGAATGAAAGGAATGATATCAGATCATTTTAGCATTGTGTTCACATTTCAAGCAAAAAACAACAAAAATATAGAAAAATCTAATTTAAAGAAATAATAGGAGGGTTATAAAAAAGACATTGGATAAGGGTTTCATGAGGACACCAGTAAGATTTAAGATGTGGACAGTGGATGGTTCCAATGATGCTCTGCACAGTCAGGGTTTGATGTTGATTACACAGTAAGTTTCCTGAGATGACTGTTTTTGAATATATGAATGGACGTGGCTCAGCCGATGTGTGTCACACATTCTTGAGAAATCATGTCCATCCATTAAAATAAAAAACAACCCTATTCTAAGCAGTTTATTGTAAACTGTAGATTTAAAAAAAAAAGTGGAAGTTGTGACACATAAAGAACTTTATAAAGGGAAGAACTCGTGTTTGTTGTAGTTAACATATTTCTATTTTATAGCACCAGATGCTTGAGGTTAACCATGCCATGATGATTATGTTTTAAATACAATGGATCAAATGATTATATGTATATAAAAGTAAAGTAATGACCCAACTCTGCAGTTTCTCAAAGCTCTCCTGAGCACTTTAGCATCTTTCAGCTCATTGTTTTGGTTCTGGGCCTCAAACTGTTTCTTCTTTATTTTATCAGTGTGAGTTTTTAGCGACATCTAACAGCGAAACAGCTAAGTGTTTTCTCTCAGGAGTTGATAGAGTAAAAAGCATGAATATTAGACATTAAAGATCCCAAATTATCACCATGTTCACCTTTCATTTTGTCCGTCAGTGAAAGCTATAGAGTAGCTTAGCGTTATTTGCAGCTCAATAAACTCGTTATTTATCTCATACCGGCGTCAGTGAAACTGTTCGTTTCTGCTGCTGTCTCTTTAAGGCCTTTCCTCACGTGCCCACTGCCTGATTGGTCAGCTCTCTGGAAGCTTTCAATGAAGGCAGAACACAGCAGGGTTGCCAGGGGAGGGCTAGTCGTGTGCTGGTAGAAGAGCCAATGAAAACGGCTACATAGAGGCTTGAAGAAATGTATCCTAATCTCAAAAATAAATCCCCAAAACGAGCTCACCTCATTAACCTATACAGGTGCTGAATCCCCAGTCTTTAATGTCTTTTGATTGCTGCATCATCCTGATCTCAAAATTAAACACACGGTGATGAAAGATACTCAGAAGTCTTGTGTGTTGGTTTGAAAGGCAAAGTGTTGTAAAGAAGAACTTGAATAACATGTCTCGATGAAGTGAACCATTCTCTAAAACCAATATCTATATAAAATGCTGAGAAGAAAAGAAGTTTCTTTTAAGTCTGTCTTGAAAAGTCAAATGAATTCAGACGTTCGAAAGAGGTTATGCAGTTATTACAAAAGAGAGAAAGAAATGAAGCCTTGACTTCGCACGTCAATGGATTGACACACATAATTGCAGCAATTTGGTTAACGAAGAAGCACTAATCTGGAGTAAGCATGTGTGTTTTTTTTCCCTCCCTGAGATTGGAAATGTAAAAACTGTGTTACAAACGGGTTGGACTAGGTGTTTGTTCTGCCAGAGGACGAGAAACAAGTCCACGCTAATCCAAGGATTGCATCCATCCACATGTGTCACACAGGATAAGGAGTTTGGTGCCAAATTAAATTGGGATTCGGCCTCTCTTGGCACAGGACTTAAGACTGCATCATTTGACCATGTACTTCTAAGTACCAAACCAGACATGAGCTTTGCAAATTAAAGGCTTTTATGAGACGTAATGGGAATTTGTTCCAATGCTAAGACTTTGATGAGCCCTGTTCAGAAATTCTATTTGCTTTCCATGGCTTTTATCTGTTTTCATTAGAATCTAATTGATGTCATCAATGTAGTTTATCCAAGGCAGCTGACCAAATTAATTAAGCGTGGTTTTCATTGCCTTGACAAAACAGCTGAAAGGAAGGGGGGAGGGGTGAAAAGGAAGACAGAGAGATAATGCAGCATGGTTAAAATTGTACACATGTCTGCGTCTTGAGCATTACAACATTTCAGAAATTGTGAGCATTGCATTAAACATTCCCCTCTGGGTGCTCGAGGGCCTCCATGTGAATTGTTAATATAATAACCTTGTGACCTCCGCTAAAACTCCAGAGTGTAACAGCTTCACTAAACCTCTGGGAGAGGAAATAAAATATGCTGGTCCAACAAGGCTGTGCCCCCCCCCCCCTCCCCTCGCGCTCCAGCACGGATCCTTTTTGCCAGAATATAAGTCACTTGTAACTTGTGGCTTACAGAGAATTAAAACATTAAGTTTCATGTACATTTCTCTCGAACATCAAAGATGTTTTGGGTTTATCATTTCAGGAAACACAAGGGTTGTAAATGTTTCAGAGGGCCATGTTTTATTGAAGAGGTCTTAGAGTTCTGAATGTGGAACAGTGGAAAGCAAGACTTGCTGCAGAAACACAGGATATTAAACGTCTTTGCTGAAAGGATCTTCTGGTTACTTCCCCCTTAACCTTCTTTTCTAGCACCTGACTTCATGCCAGTCATAAAAGATTGAAAAGTGTTAATGTGCTAATGTTAAACACGATCACTTGTAGTGTTTTTGTAGCCTGTAATCCTTCCAAGTAAAACAATTTTCTCTCAGAAAGCCCGCTCTCAACCTTGAAGTTGTTTCCAGCTGAATCAGTGTCCGCTAAGAAACAAATAGAAGCTCTTTTTCAATTAAACGTTGAGTAAAGACATCGCTTTTTTTACGGCTATAAAAGGAATCATCTAGCTTTGAAAAGACATCACAGCCAAAAGATCTTTCTCTGCTCCGTTAAAATAACAGCATCTAATCAAATAATAATTTTATTGGCTTCATGAAGCAAAACACTGAGAAGTGGAACCTGTCACTGAAGCGCTCTAGGAGCTCAAAGTGCTGAAGCCAGAGAGCTATTAAACACGCCTGTTCAACACAATACCTCATAATATGCACACATTTAAATAGCTGTGGCTGAACAATTATCACACGGCAAAAAACATCATCATAAAGCTGCGACTTACAGGCGCCCTGTGGAGATTTTTGTGCTTTATTTGACCAGAACATGCTGTGTGTATCCTCAGGGTTAGACAAACATGCTGAATGAATTTCCTTCTTCATAAAACATTGGCAAAGAAGATTTTAAAAATATTTCAAATCCAGCAGTTTTACATGCTTGTTTTATAGCCTGCAGTCTCCTTCTTTACTACTTTTGGCCTCTATTGCATTTTTACCTTATTACCACCAAGTGTCTAGTGACAATATATGGTTTAACCAGCAGCAGTAACATGTGATGTCCCCCCCGTCTGCTAATACATGTCCACGTGCAGAAACATGCATGATGAAAACATCACTCGATAGCACTCCTAGTGGCCAGAATCTCTACAGAGCCTTTTAATTGACACTTTACTGCTTTTATAATCTTACAAACACACTAATCTTTTTCATTTTGTTGTCTTTCTGGTATTTCCTTGAACACGCTACAATTCCTAAAGTTGGCAACATTATCAATACTTTCAACAACCTGTTTTTAAAACAATACAATATATAGTATCGGGAGAACACAAACAGAGTCTTGAAACAAACTTTAGATCTCCAGTCACAGTCTTTACCATACGCTGCGGGACGGAGCACTGTCTAAATTGCACTAACACTTTGACATTGTTGCCAGTGCAAATTTCCGACAGTGTGCAGGACCTTGATTCTATTTTGGATAATTGAAAACAAAAGTGCCCAATACTGGGTGCCCAGGACTTCTATGTTTGTTGCTGTGGTATCGAAGTTTTGATATCATTTGATTTTTACTCGCATCACACTAAAGTTCAAAATTCTGTATCGTGAAAAACTTAATTCCAATGTGGCAAAACATTAACCAAATGCATACAGTAACGCATTGCACTGACTGTTATGTAGTATTAATATACTGCTATAATTAAATACCCCTTTAATACCTACTTTAAGATCCTAGTGCCTTGCCTTCATGTAGCTCTATTGTGTTTTTATTCTGTTTTTTAAACATTTTTTTTTTTCTTTTGTAAATGTTGTGTTTTTAAGAGTGTTGGTTTAAATGTTTTTTATAAACCTTTTATAACGTGTTATCTCGTGTTTTAAATGGCATCTATTTACACATATAAGCCAAAGACAAATTTCTGCATTTGCATGCAAAAATAGACAATAAAATATTATATTTTATTTTCGATTTAAACAAGATCCCTCCCTTGGTTCCCACCATTAAACACAACCAAACTGTGATCATGTGTGACTACAGACTTTGGCCTCTGCTGTCCCCTCAAACGTTTTCCCCCCGCATCACTCATGAAAACAATATTTTTCGCCTTTTTTAATGTATCTAAAATAGACACGTGTTTTATCTGTTACACGCTCGGGTTTGTGTACTGCTGATGCCGTCGTGCTTTAGACACAGTCAGAGTGAGAGCAGCTCTCTGTGCTGTGAATGAAGCTGGCTCCATTTGTGACAATGGGGAGTTGAAAGCTCCAAGTGAGCGCTAATGAGAGAAGCAGCGGGAAGACCTACTTAATACGACAACTTCCCCTCTCTTTATTGAGCAATTACTTTTAAGTAGCTTCTTTGTGAACAAGGAATCCTAATCAGTGATTAAAGTTATTTGAGAGGCTATCAGAGGTGTAATTGGTTATCGGGAACCGGAGTATTGTTAAGGGGAAGATAAAAGAGAGGAGATGGA